GAGAGGGTTCGTTTCCCCCAGTTGTGTGGTCACGTAGTGTGAACATTTAAGCATCAGCTTTATCATCTTCAGTTTGTTCTCACTGAAGATGTTTTTTTCTTTTGCTTCTTTACTGAAACTTATTTTTTCATTTATTAAAGGAACCACGTGGTTTCTTGTTGTACAGGCTTTTCCTATGTTTGGAATTTGAAATTACAATTTTAGAGACCTCGCTTGACTCCTTGCTTGTGAGGATGAAGGTGTAGAGTTTTTAAAAATTTCTATTTATTTGTTTGTTTAATTTTGGTCATTTTAGAACTTTCAAAAAGCACTCTCTCTTTTAGATATATTGAGATAAATGTCCAGAATGATTTCTAAATATTACAGCTTTGACACTTCCCCTGAAAATAAATCTTTAATCCTAAATCCTGCACAGGGAAACCACAAAAGGCTTGGATTTTCAGTGTGTTATTGTTCTTAAGATGAGATTTCCTCTGTAGGGCATAATGAAGAGGGGATGGTGAACGAGCGTTTTCATTTCAGAGCATGGATTGTTTGTAGAAAATTAGGAGGGGATGAGGAGAGGAATAATTAGTGCAAACCAGAAAATAGTAGCTGGTGAAAACGAATCTAATGCAAAGCTTGTTGTTTCCTGTTCGGTCTGCGTGTGCCAGTGATGGACATCACCGTGGCCGTGTCGCAGCAGAGCGCGTCGGCTGTACGACACGTGTAGAGGGGTTTAGGTTTGAACAGTTCTGGCCAGCACAGCTGGGATAGGCACTTGGTGGGAACTCGTGTCCCTTTGTGGTGGTTTCACTGGGCTGGCACTGGGCTGGCAACCAAACCCAGCTGCTCGCTCACTTCCCCCTCCAAGGGAATAGGGGAGAGAATTAGGGGCAAGAGTAGGGAGACTGGTAGGGTGAGAGAAGAACAATTTAATCGTTGAAATAAAAGGAAACTTAAAGTAATACTGATATTAAAATAGTAGTGATAATAGTAATAGTAATGAAATACGCCAATGAGTGATACCCAGTGCCATTGCTCAGCACCCGCCCACCCAGCCCGGCCCGTTCCCAGATCACGATCCCGCAGGAGCCACAATCTTGA